AGAACTTCTGGAGGCATCACAGTCCTGGACTTCAAACTGTACTACAGAGCTACAGTACTGAAAACAGCCTGGTACTGGCATAAAATCAGACAGGAAGACAAATGGAACCAAATTGAAAACTCAGATATTAATCCACACACCTACCAACACCTGATTTTTGACAAAGAAACAAAAATATAAAATGGAAAAAAGAAAACATATTTCACAAACAGTGCTGGCATAACTGGATGTCAACATGTAGAAGAATGAAAATAGACCCATATCTATCACCATGCATAAGACTCAAGTACAAATGGATCAAAGACCTCAAGATAAAGCCAGCCACACTGAACCTCATAGAAGAGAAAGTGGGAAGTACACTTGAACTCATTGGCACAGGAGACCACTTCCTAAATATAACTCCAGTGTCACAAACACTGAGAGAAACAATTAATAAATGGGATCTCCTGAAACTGAAAAGCTTCTGTAAAGCAAAGGACATGGTCAACAAGACAAAACGGCAGCCTACATAATGGGGAAAAGATCTTTACCAATCGTACATCAGAGAGAGAAATCTGATCTCCAAAATACACTAAGAACTCTAGAAATTGGTCTTTGCATTTTTTAATTATGATCATTTAGAAGATTATTTTTTGCCTTAATTTTTCATGGTTTCTGTTTTTCTGCATTACGATTTACTCATCTATCAGGATGGATATCTTTTCTGGTTTTGTGAGTCTCTTCAGTGAGCAGTCCTCACTTGAAGGCCCAAAATCTAGTACCACTCACCATGAAAATAATAAGTTGTCATAAAAGCAATAGCACCAGACAAAAATCAGACATAGAAATGTACTTAAAATCAACTGTTAAAACACTAAAGAAAAGCAAACAGCAAAACTAATGAGGAGCTTTATTCTATTGAACTGGTGCTCAGCCCAGCATGGCTGAGGATTAGCTGCCCCAATCATTTCTATGCCTCCCAGGAACTGCTTCTGACTGGGTTGCTCGGCAGCCTGTGGACCAGGCAGGCTCCCACTCAGGGCATTCTCCAGCTTGTATATCTTTGAATTGCTAATGTCGAAGTCCAAGGGGTGTCTCCTGAGGATATTGGGGTGTAGGAGGTGATGAAGCACTGAGGTCTCGTGCTGAAGGACCCAATCTTGCTCAGTATTAAACATGCTACAGGACAGAGGAGCATGCAGTAATGTCCACGGGACCTGAGAACTGCATGACAAAGGGAAACTATGCAGCTCCCGAGCCTTGCTGACTTCTGGCTTAGGGCTATCACTCTCCATGGAGTTACCTATTTCTAGCTAAAGAAAGTAGGGCGACCAGCCGTCACAGTCTGAGCCTCCTACAGCTTCCTAATCACGCCCACGTCAAGTTCTCACAGGATCTACCATTGCTTTATGCAGTCACCTCAGAGTTTTCAGGCCTACTTAGTAACTCAGTCTGAAGCAATATGCCCTCTATCCTGATGATTTAGAAATAGCCCCTGAGTGTAGAGAGTGCCACGGTGGACTTGTGGCACATATGAATCTGTCATACTAAATCCCCAGATGGATTTAGGACTTGTAAAGACTGTAAACTTGTTCTGTGTACATATATGAAGAGACACATACAGGAGTGCGTGTGCGTGTGCGTGTGCGTGTGTGTGTAGATCAGGAGAAAACTTCTGAGAGTTGGTTCTCTCCAGTGTGAACTTGAGTATCAAACACGGGTTGTCAGGCTTGGCAGCAAGCATCTTTACCCAGTGAGCCATCTCCCCAGGACCACGCTTGCTTGGCTTACACTGTGGAATATTTGACTCCCTTTCTTCCATGGGGGAGCCTGGTAGACTGTTTTTTTTTGCTTTTTGCTGCTTAGCCTTTGCATATCTTCAGCCTATCCAGCTGTCTCTGAATCCCTTTCTCCTGCCCTTGCCCTTCTACGCTTTCTCTTTGCATAACGTCCCCCCTTTTTCATCTAACTTTTCCCAATCTTGGCATCACATGGAACCTGCTTCTAGTCCTCCATCTTGGCACTCCCCTCACATTTTGGCATTCCCCATCCAGAAAAAAGATTCTTAAGAAATAGTAATGTCATCATTATCAGAGAAAGGCGGGTCAGTGTGGACCATATCTTCTTCCACGTACATAGCTTCTGACCAACATGAGTATAAGGAATACCTTACTCCTCATAAGAAGTATGAAGAAGGCCATTGTATTGAGTTATGATTTGATTCCATAGGTTATCACAGTCAAATTCCTGCCTTATATATGTAGGAACCATTCCTTCCCCATTTTGAGCAAGGGGAATGATGTTTCTGACTCCAAATTTGGGGAATACACATGGAGTGGCCTGTTGCTCTAATAGATTTCTTTCCCTTTAATCCTTAGCATCTGTCTCCATGAATGCCTTTCCTCAATGCCTGCATATAATGCGGATGTGATAGATTTAGAGGTTGATCCTTCATCAGATGTGAAACTTAAGACAACAACAGCAACAAAAGCCTCACCCAGAAACAGAAAGGCATGCAAGCAAGTTTCCCCAGTCCTTTGTCTCCGCTCCTGGTGTTGCCTGGATATTAGTTTATCAACACACTGGGTTTGTGCTACTGCTCCATGGCTAGAGAACACTGCAAGAAGACTACCTTGGGTGTGGATGCTAGCATTTAAAGCAGGGACCCACAATATAAGGTAAGTTCTTTTTAAGCAAATCCGTCTTTGGGTTTCAGATTTCATTTAACTTGTAGGTTGTTTTCCCCCTGCATTCTCCAGGCATTTTAATCAAACTTTATCCTGTGCAGACCACGGGAATGGGTAAGGCACATTTCTTCAGCAACAGCACGAGAAAAAGCAGACGTGAGCTGTTGCCACAAGAAACATCATCTGTCATTTCCTCGCGCTATTTGAAGACAGAAGGAATCATTCTGGCTTTGAAGAATATTTATTCTTTGCTCTGCAGACCTGGAAAATGGGAGGAGGGATATTGAAATGATTTGAGTGCAGGAAAGAATGTAGGTTTCAATCAGAGAGAACATGCAAAGAGTGTGTCGTGATTGGTCCAGATCCCTGGGTGCCCACTAAGGAAAAGCAGATTAAATAGAGTATTCACAGTTTCACTTATGAGCTTCTACCTTGGGAACAGAACACAAAGAGATGCTGACTGATGCTTCTTTAATACATTTCAGCTAGAGGAGATCCTCATGGCTAGATCTCATATCTGAGCCGATCAGAATTCCCACATGCATTAAGATTTTTGTTGTTGGAGACGGGGTCTCTCACTATATTCCTGGAACTCTCTATGGAGACCAGCCTGGTCTGGAACTCACAGAGACCTATATGCCCTTGGCTCCCAAATGCTGGAATTAAGGGTGTGCACCACCATGCCTCAATATTGAACTATTTTTTAAGAATGTGTGTGTGGAGCAACCCCTCGCTGTCCTGACTTCCTTGCTCATCTTCTCCCTCCTTCTGCTCTTCAACTGGACCTTGGGAACTCAGTCCAGTGCTCCAATGTAGGTCTCTGTCTTTTTTTCCATCCTTCGCTAGATGAAGGTTCTATGAGGGATTGGTCCACCCACTGAGAAAGTGTGCCTGATCTAATGGAAGCTCACCAAAGCCAGCTGGACTGGGACTGAACAAACTGTGATTAAACCAGACTCTCTGAATGTCGCTGACAATGGGGGCTGACTGAGAAGCCAATGATAATGGCACTGGGATTTGTTTCTACTGCATGTACTGGCTTTTTGGGATCCTAGTCTGTTTGGATGCACACCTTCCTAGACCAGGATGGAAGGGGGGAGGGCCTTTGACTTCCCACAAGGCAGGGTACCCTGCCCTCTCTTAGGACTTGAGGGAGAGAAGAGAGAGTGAGTGGGGAAGCAGGAGGGAAATGGGAGGAGGTGGAAATTTTGGATGGTATTATTTATATAGCAATAAAATTTTTAAAAAAAGAATGTGTGTGTGATGCACCTGTGTGTGTACATGCATGAGCCTTCACTAGAGGCAGGTAGAAAGAGAAGACACGGGCACACACTGGGAACTCTGCACCTGTGACCTCAGTGAGTCAATCAGAGGAAGAAACTCAGGTCTGCCGGTTCTAAAGCTGTGTGGCCGCTGTTCCCGGTTCTCTTCTCTAGCTAGCCACTGACGTAGGTATTCATAACCATCTGCCGTGTCTACAGGGTCCGTTGTTACACTCATTTGTTGCACTCTTTCTTTCTGTCATCTGTCATCTGTGCTGGTAAAGGGCAGAGGAGTGAGCAGAGAGGAAAATGCCCAGGGTTTCCATTGGCTTCTGCAACCCTAGCCAACACACGCTTCTCAGGCAAACCTTAGATTCTAAACCCCGCTGCACCGAGAAAGGGGATGTCATCCCTGCAGGGAAGTCCTTCGTTCTGACATTTGTCAGGCAGGAGAGAGAAACGTGGTGGAGTCACAATTTATTTTGTAACATGGTGGTATAAAATTGCAGGTCTAAGAGTGAAAGGAATGGACATACTTTGTGTCTGTTAGCAGCTGTATTTTAGGGAACATTTGATGACCTAGGAAGATTCATAATATATCTGTATGGTGATCACCCCTTTCCTAAAATCAAATACAATATTTACTAACTAAATAAATAAATGGAAACTAATCAAATGTCAACAATATTTTAGGATGGATAATCTTATTTTCTTCTCCAATTTGAATTTTCCCCCCAAACACCAAAAGACATAGACATTTCTTTTAGAACCGGATAAGATCACAGCACTATTTAAGATGGTGAAGAAGTAACTGCTGTATGCTGGATGTCTCTACAAGATATTCACACTGGACACAGAGAAGCAGGAAGACAAGGGCACTGGATGATCCTTCCAAAGAAAGACGGTAACTAGCAGACTGAAGACATCTACATATTAGGAAATAGGAGGAAATATTCTTTGGGAAAAAATTTTGCTTCTATGCTTACTGTCTTAGGTCCATCCCCAAAGCTGGTTAAACAAAATGAAAACTGATTCTGTGTTTTCTCTTCCTTGGAGATACAAGACAAAGAAACATGGGGAGAAAGTTGAAAAGGCAGTACAAAGCCTGGAATGTTCCACAGATACCTCGCATTCGAGTCCCTGCCTCTGCCGCTGACAACCCACTACTGAAGGTGCGACATCCTGTTCCGGGAGGGAAGGCTTGTCTTCTCTCTTTGGAGGGTTGAGGACTTTTTTTCTACTGTCTGTGTGGGAGGAGAGTGTTGTTTGACCCGCAGTAAGTGTCTGCTGAAGGGGTAAATGAAGGCGCGCCGGGACAGCCTAACACTAAACACCCCCAATGGTGGAGTCTGCAAAGCGGTCTCCTATCTCCGTGCGCGGCTGTCCCACCACCGTGGGAGCGCACTTCATTGGCAACATCAACATCGTGGCTTCCTGTTCATGCTGTCAGCGTCTTTCCCAGTGAGCTAATTATAGCCATTCACATAGGAACTCTTTTAACAATTTCACTTCTCTTCCATCTCTTCCAAGAAAGATAGGGGACAATGTGAGAATATCAGAAATGTAGCCTGCCACTGACTTCTCATTTAGGATATTTAGAGTTTAACACAGGTAACGTGTAGTGAGGGGCTGCGGGCAGGCCTGCTTTTCACCTCACCCGGCTCCCGCATGGCTAGCTTAGTCCCAGAAATAACAACACACAAATTGTATTCATTTAAGCACTGCCTGGCCCATTATCTCTAGAGAGTTAGTTACTGACTAACTCTCATATCTTGATATTAACCCATTTCTAATAATCTGTGTAGCACCACGAGGTGGTGGCTTACTGGAAAAGATTCAGCATGTCTGACCTGGTGGCTGGCTCCATGGCATCTGCCTCATTGCCCTCTTCCCAGCATTCTGTTCTGTTTACTCCGCCTACCTAATTTTCTGTCCTATCAAAGGGCCAAGGCAGTCTCTTTATTGACCAATGAAAATAACACAATAGACAGATAACCCTCCTCCATCATTTCCCCTTTTTCTGTTTAAACCAGAAAGAAAGGCTTTCATTTTAACATAGTAAAATTACACATAACAAAACAGTTATCAAGCAAGAATTACAGTCACAATATTTATAACTATATCTTTATCATAATAATGGAAAACTATAACTATGACTATCCATTCTTCAACTCCATCAAAGACTCCAGAAGGATATATTACCTAAGTAAACAAGAAGTAAGCAACTTCCAAAACTCTAGAAATGACAGAGACATCTCGCTGCCTGGACAGTCACCCAAAGTTCCTCTGTATCGTTGGGGCACCCATCTTCGGCCTTCAGGCCCATAATATCCAGAGACATTTCCATGAAGCAGGAAATTTCAAAGGCAGTTCAGTCACTATCTGCTGTGTCCTGCAGAATGTCTCGCAGACTCTTTCATGAATCAGAAACCCCGAAAGATCATCTCACCTTTAGGCAAGTTCAGCAGTCCTCTCTCTGCGGATTCTGTGTCTAGTTTATACAACAGTCCAGGCAAGAGCAGTTTCTTGCCCAAAATGGCTATCAAACTCCATAAGGAGCCTCTTCGATGCCCATCTTTCTCTTGAAGTAGATTGGTGCTGCCAGGAACAGACATGTCTCATTGTCATGAAAAGTCCTAAGTTATTAAAACATTAAATGCCATGTTCTGTAGTCTTTTAAAGATATGAAGAATGCATATCTGAAATATATCTATGCACATCTAGAAAATCAAACTAACATTACTACAAGCTTGACTATTATCAATGATTATCCATTAACAACCTATATTTTTAATTATACATTACATTTTTAAATGAACTACACAATCACAATACCTCAATCAAGATCAGAAATATATATACATATAACAAAATTGACCTTAAAATCCATACCAATGAAATTATTCATATCTATATCATATCACCCTTTAAATGTAAACATTTATAAACAATATTTGGGAATATGGACGTAGTTATTTCTCTCCAAACTTCTTCCTGCTGTATTGGGGCGCTGTTAATCAGGTCTTTCATGGTAAAACCTGTCTGCCAGGTTCATCTCAGTTGGCAGTTGAGTGAAGTAATTTCTTGAGGGTGTTCACAGCAACCTTTCAGGAGGATGTGGTCTATCATACCATATTGGGATAGAAGCAATCCACAGGGCCTCATCCTCTGTGAAAAAAAAAGAAGGACCTCCTTTCCAAAGCATCATATTCTTAGACCCAAATTCTGAAGTCAAGGTATTTTCAAAATATCTATCTTGGATTAGTTCAGCAGCATTTATAAACAAAAGTCTTTTAACAGCTGTTGCTCCTTCCTCAGCATTCAAACAATTCAAAGAGAGCAGAATAGCATACAGTATCAAGATTCTCTGTGTGTTTTCCATCTTTATGTGGCTTTATTTTAACCTCTATTTCTTATATTTTTACTTTTACTTTTTGAGACGGGTTCTCTGTATATCTTTGTCCTGGAATAACTCCGTAGACCAGGCTGTCCTTGAACTCAGAGATCCACTTGTCTCTGCCTTCCAAGTGCTGGGATTAAAGGCGTGTGCCACTACACCTTGAACTCACAGAGATCCCTCTGTCTCTGCCTCCCAGGCATTGGGTTTAAAGGTGTGTGCTACCACACCTTAAAGTCACAGAGGTCAATCTTACCTCTGCCCCTTGAAGTCACAGAGGCCAATATGCCTCTGCCTCCCGGGCAATGGGATTAAAGGTGTGTACCACCACACCCAACTACTCTCTTTCTTTCTTTTTAACTTTAAGAACTTTAACTTTTGGCCTGCATATATTTTTAACATAATGTAAAACATTTAGAGGTTCTCTTCCTCTTTGAATCTTTCGTTACTGTATATCTCTCTTTTTCTTACTACATGAGCCTTTAATTTACTAAGCAATATGGAGAGCCATGGCTTTGACGGCTAGATGCAGCCCATTTCTTAGCTTTTCAGACTCATGGCAGAGGTACCACTGGAGCCATTTTTATTGCCACAACTCTGTGGCGTTTCAAGGTCCTTGCCAGCAAGCAAGCTGCAACATTCTGCTCACAGACCACACTCAGTTGGACTGCCTGCCTAAAAGAGTCAGAGTTTGCTCTGGCAGGACAGCCCAGAAAACCAGCATTTTAAAACAGCACAGCTTTTTTCCTGCTATGGCTGAAAACCGAAAAGCATGTGTTCAGCTTTTGATCAACACCGTTTAAGTGTTTCGTGGCGGGACCTCTTAATGAGTTGCAGGGTTTTGCAGCTAAAGCTGAGTCAGGAAGCCTCCCTTAGATGAGAGCGCTTGCTTGCCCCTAGCAAGCAGAGCAGACCCGAGAAATTGCTGCTACCAACAAAACATGCTTTACTCTATTCTTTCCCAAGCTTTCTCAGGCTTTCTGTGGATTCAGTTATCCACGTGGGCGCCATATGTAGTGAGGAGCTGCGGGTAGGCCTGCTTTTCACCTCACCCGGCTCCTGCACGGCTAGCTTAGTCCCAGAAATAACAACACACAAATTGTATTCATTTAAGCACTGCCTGGCTCATTATCTCTAGAGAGTTAGTTACTGACTAACTCTTATATCTTGATATTAACCCATTTCTAATAATCTGTGTAGCACCATGAGGTGGTGGCTTACCGGAAAAAATTCAACATGTCTGACCTGGTGGCTGGCTCCATGGCGTCTGCCTCATTGCCCTCTTCCCAGCATTCTGTTCTGTTTACTCCGCCTACCTAATTTTCTGTCCTATCAAAGGGCCAAGTCAGTCTCTTTATTGACCAATGAAAATAACACAATAGACAGATAACCCTCCTCCATCAGTAAAAAAATAGGCATAGTTTTTCTTGATAAAATAAAAACTATAACTTTCAAGATTTTTATCTGATATAAGGGAAATTCCCATTGTACCGGGGAGCTTTGCTGTTGAAGTGGGCTAGCAATTTTCACATTGCCTTTTCTGTAATCATGTAAAAGACTTAGTTACTCAGGAATGAAAACCATCCTCTTCTTCAAATTTATGATCCCCAAACATACATAATAAAGAAATCAAGAGGGGTTTGATATCTTACATGGTGAGGCTCTTGGCCTTGCTATTTTTACTCTGGGCTTTCTTTTACTATCAAATTTAAAGGCCTTAGATTTAAAAACACTTTGTCTCACAGACTTCAGATTTTAGTCCCCCACAGAATGTCTAACCGGTACGTTGCCTTAACCTATGTTTACATGTTACAGGGATGGGCAGGTTTTCCACACAGTTTTCAGTTGGCTTTGAAATTTCTGTCTCTGAGGTATTTTATATTCAGGATAAACTTATTCAACTTGGTTTTTCTAGAATGTTGATGCCATTATCAAAATTTACCCATTTACTTTTGAGACAAGGTCTCATGCAGCCCAGTTAAGGATGACTTTGAATGTCTGATCTTTCTGCCTCCCCCTCCCCATGTAGCCCTGCTGGCCTGGAACTCACTGGTAGACCAGGCTGGCCTTGAACTTGAATTGCTCCTTTGACCCCCGCTTCGCAAGTGTTGGCATGTACCACCATGCCTGTTTCCTCTGTTTTCATTGCCTGCCTTTTCGGGCCAATGTTCATCTCCTAGCCCATCTCCCACTTGATAGTCTATCCTAATTCCTTACTGGGAGCTTTCCACTGAATGTCTCAGCTATCTGGAAGCCTCCACCCATCAGGCCCTGAGTAGATTCCCACAACCTTATTTTCCTCAATAAGGATCAGTAAAAGTCTCATATCCTGGAAGCTTTTACATCTCCCTCATCATAAAATTATGACTTAAAGAACCTAGAATCTTTTCCTTCCCTGTTTTCATCACTATCCCAACAAGGAGAAGATGGTTTGTACAAATGGTGAATGGAAATTTCCTGATTATTCATGTCCCATAAAAATCTGTGTCACCCTGGACTTAGCTCCCAAGGTCTAAATGAGGAGCAGAAGGAGAGAGAACACGAGCAAGGAAGTCAGGATCACGAGGGGTGCGTTCACCCACTGAGACAGTGGGACCGATCTAATGGGCACTCACCAAGGCCAGCTGGACTGGGAGTGATGGAGCATGTGATCAAAATGGACACTCTGAATGTGGCTGGCAATGAAGGCTGACTGAGAGGCCAAGGACAATGGCACTGGGTTTTTATTCTGCTGCATGGACTGACTTTGTGGGAGTCTGGTCTGTTTGGATGCTCACCTTTATAGACCTGGGTGGAGGTGGGAGGACCTTGGACTTCCCACAGGGCAGGGCACCCTGACTGCTCTTGGGACTGGAGAGGAAGGGGGAGGTAGGGAGGGGAAGGGAAAAGGGAGGCAAGGAGGAGGTGGAAATTTTTAATAAATAAATAAATCTATGTCACCTTAAGAGAAGCGTCTTACTCCTGTGGGCACTAGTTTTTGCCGCGTCGCACTTGTAATTACATAGAGGTTTATCAGTCACCTCCTCCTTCTAACAGGACCTAAATCAAGGGCAGCGGCGCTACTTCTACAGCATCATGAGGATTTATGACTCCAGGCCCCAGTGGAAGGCCCTGCAGACCCGGTACATCCACAGCCTTGGGTACCAGCAGCAGCTGGGTGAGTTTAACTACCTTCCCAGAACTAGGCCTATCAGCAGGGTGCGTGTTCATCACAGCCAGAAGTCACACCTCCAGATAAATAATCCAAGAAGAATGGCCTCTGCCGACCTATTTTACCAACATGGTTGGCCAGCCAAGTTCAAAAATGATTATCCCTGACAATAGACAGCGAAATTTTATAGGTGAATTAAGAGGGTTTAAAGAAATTAGAGTATGGATTCTTAGAAAATGTTAACAACTCTCTGAGATTTATATGAACTTGATCTAGTAGATCAATACACTGGACTTGGAAAGCTAACACAAGCTCAACCAAGGGTTCCCCTCCTTACTGTTTGTGTAAGATCAAAGACAGTTTACTCCCAACAGTAATAACTACATGTTAGAGCATTTGACACAGCCCATACACCCTGCCAAGAGCATCATGTACAATATAGTCATAGAACCAGAGCTGCTCACAAACTGTGTAATTTGATGAAGACCATTCAACCAGCCATGGTCAATGAGGACTTCAGGCAATCGGTGATTTCTCCAAAGACCATGGTTCTAACTGCTCATACTTTGCTTTTTCTCCTTTTCTACCAAACCCACTCAGATTATTACAAAGCACAGATGAAACCGTAGTTTCCAAAGGCACGAACACACCATACTCATCAACCTGTTGGAAGGCTTCACTGCTGTTAATTCCTTTATCTTACAGGAAAGTCTTTCCTCCTCTGCTGTGTAGTCCTCCCAACTTAGGTAGAAAACTGAAATCCAGATGAGTTAAATAACCTTACCAGGGTCAAAAACTTAGGAAACAAGGACTTGGGGTTTGTTGATTACTGAAGATTGTCTGAAGTATAGTGGAAGCACCTTCTGGTGGCTTTGTTTTCAGAGCCAAATGCCAAAGAAGCCAATAAACTTAAATGCACAATCATTCAGTGGCATTCATAATATCCATCATGTTATTATAGTGCAGATTCCCATGCCTTGCTCTCTGGGCTTCCGATTCAGAAGACCTTTGAAGAGAACAGAGTTCTGAATTATAATGGGATTTTTCAAAAAGCACATGGACTCAGAGAATTTAGTGGGTACAGGGTAGATGGTGCTTTGAGAAACTGAAAGACATATCTATCTTTTAAACCAGATATTATCTTCCTCTGGGTTGAAGAAAGCTTTGCTAACTAAGAGAAGTTTCATGAGAAGGCTGAGCATCACTCAAGTTTCTTCCCAAATGTCTTGACTTGCGAACTGGGGATTGTAGTCACTTCTGTTACTCAGCTCTTCTCATTCATGGGGCAGGGGATCTTACAGAAACCACTCTGGTCAGGAAGAACTTATTTTGGCTCAAGGTTTCTAGAGGTGCCAGTCCATCATGACAGGGACGGAGTGAAACAGAACAGCTTTTCGCATCCTGGTGGCCAGGAAGAAGGGGAGCAAGAGAGTGTGGGTTCTCACCCACATCCAGGATGGGGCTCCCCCAGTTAATTGTCTCTAGAGATACCTTCACACACATACCCACAAGGTGTGCCTCAACATTTAGGTTATCGAGATTGTTCAGGTTGACAGTGACATTGAACCATCATGTTCAGTGATGGAAAAAAAATGCAAAAATAGAAATATACCCTTCACGCCCCCAAGGATAGTATAACCAGGGCGTGCTAATCACAGAAGAAAACTTTCATTCACCTTCACCTCTGTGAATATTTTTGTTCGATAAGATTGTTGAGTTGAAGAGATGGCTCAGCAATTAAGAGCACTTGCTGTTCTTGCAAAGGACCAGGGTTCAGCTCCCATCACCTTATTGGTTCCTAATCACCTGCAAGTCCAGCTCTGGGAGATCTGTCACCCCCTTCTGGCCTCTGGAAACAAACAGACACACAGGTGGCACACCTACACACATTCAAGCAAAACACTCATATGCATAAAATGAAGACTCAATAAACGCTTCACAGAAAGATATTGACCTTGGAATTCCTCTCATTTCTTTCCCCAGGCTATATCACTCGGCAGGAGGCTGTGTCTTGTGCTGTTTTACTTAGACACTCAACCATGCAAGCCTCAGCCAAGGTGGCTCCTCCAAGAACCATTCCCCGAAACTCTTCAGCCACACAAAGAAAATGCCGGCCAGCAAAACCAGAGTCTAGAGCTGGACCCAGGACCCTCAGTACAGCATGCTGAGCATCAGGACCTGAGACAATGCATAATCTATAAACTGGGCAGCTTATCGGTGTATTCCCTGCATCCTAGTAGGTGCTTGGTATGTGTTTGTTGTATGACGATGAAGGAAAGAAGACTAATAGAGCCTCTAGACCGACACATCATCACATCTTCACAGAAATGACACACACAAGAAGATGGGAGATTTGCAAGCTTTATGTATATGTATAGAGTACATAATAAGGAAGCTTTGCCACACATAGTTTGTAAAATAAATGGGTTTTCAATGCTTTCAAAGTAAAAATTGCTTTTGAGTTCCGGCATCCCAGTGAAGTCTGCAGGACAGTAGGAGGGGACGCATGCCAGGACCCCTATCCCTGGGTGACAGCTCCCTTCAAGTTGCCCATTCCACATCTGAAAATACACCATCCCACACAGCCAATACTGATTATGGAGATTTCTGGAGTCCCAGTGTTAGGGACACGTGCCACGTGCCCTTCCTACCCTTATCCACACCAGGCAACAATATTCACTCTGGCCCTGCAGTTTCTGGTTCCTGCCTTAATCACTTTGTGTCATTCCGAAATTTGTGTTTATCAGTCAGCTACTGCCAGGTTGAGTCTACACAGCTGTAATTGGCCTTGACACGGGTAAGCTAATTCATGCACACACCTGCCCCTGGCAACGAGAAATACTCTCAGCAGAACAGAAAATAGCCCCAAAGAATTAATCACAAGGCTTGTCTTTGAAGATCTTAAGAACTCGTACAAGGCCATGCAAACAAGCATATAAAGAATGAGAAGCAGCCAGTCAGATTTTCCTACAAACTTATTTGTTACGTTTAATAGTGACTTTCTTCACCAATTATTCTATTAACTGTGTGTGTGCCAAAAACTAGTGATCCTATACAGGTGAATTAAAAGCTGTCACTTCCTTATCTCTATTTTTTTTTAAATGTCATTCGCATCAACCAATGCCTATCACTGCTTGAGAAATTGTTGAGATAGAACTTACTTTACAAGGGACATGGAACATTCATCTGAAAAGAAGATGGGACAGTTCTACCACACCCCCTTTCCAGTCCAAACCAAAAATAAAAAAAAATTAAAAACCCATCCTTGATAAGGCCTTCTCTCTGCAGCCATTAATATAAAAGATATGGCTGGGCAATGGTGGCACGTGCCTTTAATCCCAGCACTCGGGAGGCAGAGGCAGGCGGATCTCTGTGAGTTCAAGGTCAGCCTGGTCTACAAGAGCTAGTTCCAGGATAGCTCCAAAGCTACAGAGAAACCCTGTCTCGACAAACCAAACAAAAAAAATTAAATAAGTCAAAAGCTTCTAAAGAGCCATATTGTAGGGTTTATAATTCTATATGACTTTTCTGGGTGGGGCGAGGGGCATGGTTGTCCCATCCATCTACTAGGAAGTCTTGGGATAACAGGACAACATTTGACCAGATGAAAGCTATACTGCTGTGTCTCATACTGCCAATGGTCAATGTGGAGAGCCTAAGGGACCATATGCCTAATCATGAAGAAGCTTCTTGACCACCCTGATACTGACTCAAGTATTCTCTGTAGATAACGCTATTAAATTAGGGATTCTTGGGTAGCTTCTAAAATTCCCATAGAACTGGGGTGAACCGTGAGGGAATCCTCATTAGAGGTAGAGGATGGTGGCAGCCCTACCCGTCGACATTAACCTTCCCGCTACCACGTTGAGCCTTTTATCTCTGGGAACTGCTGACACGTGTTTTCATCATGGACTTTTGTGGCTTGGCTGGCCTAGGTGTCTGCTGAGTAAGCATTGGCTCCTTGTACTGAATAGCAAGAATAACAAGCACAGAGGATCTGTGCTGCAGCCCTGCATCAAAAGATCTCAGCAGCGTTTCTCTCTGACAGAGGCTTTTACAATCCTATGGGCAGGTGAATGTCACAAGCTCATAAGAAGGACAAATGGGTTTAATAGATGTAAATTGGTTCAGGAGGTTCCCCCTTCTGAGAAGATAATGCTCCCCTTCAGCTAGAGTTCCACACTTGAGGCTTGGAAAGATGTGGCAGGTTAGGGAGCTTGAAAGAAAGATGTTCACTGAAAAGGACACCAAGAAAGATAATCAAGGGGGGGAGGGGTAGAAAGAACACACGAAGGTTTTAGTAACCCTACTGCTTCTGGTTGGAGACTTTGCTGCTGTGGCTTGCAATGGCCACCATTAACACGGGGAGATCAAGGAACCGTTTTACCTGAAATTACTAACATCTAAAAGAGACTGACTGTGGAAGGCAATCAATAAATAATACCTGTTGAACACTATTAAAATTTTCAAAGTCTGCAGTCAGACTGACCTCTGGCTCTGTGATAATCCTTCAAGGACCCAGGATGCAACACCACTGGGGAGGCTTGGCAGGGGTTGTCAGGCAGAAGTGAGCAGAAGAGTTCATCCAAGGTGCAGGCAATAGCGGTGCAGTCAAGAACTTTCGAAAACTGAATAACGCTGGTCTCCTTTTTATAATGGTCACAAGACAGTTGGGGGCAGAAAGTGCCCCCCCCACTCTTTTGTTGATATAAATCCTAAACAATTGCTAAGGGAACAGGAGTTCTGCCTTTTAATTACCCTTTTGTCTCTGTTGGAAATAGTTTGGAAGATGCCTTGCGTTGTGGTTCCGATATTGTTTGATTGTACTGAATGGGACCCGTGGTGGGAGTTTTGTCCTCACTGTGCTGATGTGGGAAGATGGGACAGAACCATTGCAGTGTGGAGCCTCACAGATTTATGGGGAATTGTGGGAGGCATCACTCTCAGGGGAACTGATGTGGCTGTTATGAGACCCCAGGTAGTTCTTATAAAAGACCGTCACAAAACCCAGCAGTCATAAGATAGCAATTCTGATACTATCTTTTGCCTCTTGGTGAGTGACCATTTTGTAAATATTCAAGTGTTCTTAGACAATTGTATATTCTTTAATGGATGACTGTGGAAATAAATCTTTATGCCCAATAAACCATACTCACTAATTGTTTTGAAATGAAAGTGTTGATCTCTGAATATGCTCAAATTCTCAATGGTGTCCCTATTTGACATTCTCCCTCTCTCTCTCTCTCTCTCTCTCTCTCTCTCTCTCTCTCTCTCTCTCCTTCCCTCCTCCTGTTTGACATGTTTCTCTTTCCCCACCTCCACAATGCCAGCTACTATGAGGTAGTGTAGCTAGGGGACCCTAGAGCTAGAATGAACACCACACTTTTAGAATTGCAGTCTCCAAAAGTGTGTTCTTTAAAAATAATACTTTTGAAAATGATGTACCCAGCCTTTGATACTTCATTACAGAATAAAAGAAAGAAGGAAAGAAAAAAGAAAAAAAGAAAGAAAGAAAGAGAAGGAAAAAACAGCCTAATAGAGCCTGCTGCAATATACACAGTATCAAGAGATACGTCTCTAACCACTGTACTGCATATCCTTTTTTATCTTTCATTTTATTTATTCTTTGTCTCTTTCATATCATGTCTCCACATCATGTCTCCCAATCTTGACCATTTCTCTCCCCCCAAAAAATAAAACAAAATTTAAGGTGGGGAGGAAGAAACGGAGGATCTCGTCACGGAAGCTGCAGTGTGACACAGTGAGTCACACAGTAAACCCCTTTATCCATAGATTTTGCACGCAGGTATTATACGCAGGCATTCATCCCAAAGATCATTGGTCTGGTTCAAGGCCCCTGGTCTCTGCTGAACAATTGACACTGGGCCCTCATGGGGACCCTTCCTGGATGTCTCTTTGTTGCCCTGCGTCAGGGAGATCTTGCAGCTCTGGGTTTGCAGCACCAACTCCACCCCCACCCAAATCACCTCCAGGGATCACAGATGGGGTGGATGTTGGAGAGGGCTAACATAACCCTGGTCTGGACCTGGGTAGTTGCAAGGTTGACAGCCTGACAGCTCTCCTGTTTTCACCACCAGGGTGAGCTCTCCAGCATTGTCCTGGCTACTTCACCCATTGCAGCCATGAGGAAGGGGTGGGGCCCTTTCTCCTGCTTTCACATCCTCAGGGTGGGTTCTCCTACACCTACCCCTTCAGGGCCAGATCTCCTGTGTTGTCCAGGCAGGTGGAGGGGCTGCAGCTGGTGGGGGCAGGGAAGGCTCTTCTGCTCTTAGGACCTTAGGGCCAGCGCTCCCACCTGCCTCACAGGTTGATGGGTGGGGCATATCCTTTTTAAAAATATTTGTTTTTGTTTGATATCTATAAGTGTTTTACCTGCATGGATAATGTGTAATGCACATGTGCTTGGTGCCCCGGGAAGCCAGAGCAAGGTCCCAGAAGCCTTGGAACTTCAGTTAGATGGCTGTAAGCTGCCCTGAGGATGCTGGGAACTGAATCCCAGTCCAACTGCTGATCCATCTCTCCTGTGCCAATGATACATGTTCTTGCATTTGAATTCCAGACTTGAAGAGCCACTCTAATGGCAAAATGTAAGACTTTGAATCACTCCAATTCTTTATATAATATACACGCCACATATGCATTCAGTTTAAGTTCAGTGAATCTTCACAAGTGCATAACCATACAACCATCACCACAATCATGACAGAAGGTGTTTAATTCCTCTAAATTCCCCTCCTGTCTCTCTGTAGTCAGTTTCCTCGGACAAACTATGACCGATGGATATCACAATTTTGACAACTGTAGTATGGGCTTCTCTAGAATTTTACATAAGCAGGATCTTTGTTTGACTTCTCTTACTTATCTTATAATGCTTCTGTGAGGATTCATCCTGATATACATATCAGTATTCTATTTCTTTTCCTTACAGAGTAATGTTTGTCGCATAGATATGCCACAATTCAAGCATTCACTCACCCATTAATAAATATTTGGGTTGCTTCTAGCTTTGAACTCTTTGAACATAAGCACTAAAATAGTGAATGTAAGTCTTACTTGAACATTAATTTGTCTTGGAAAGATACCCAGAGATACAGTTGGTTCACATGCTCTGTCTGCATTGCATTGCAATAGATGCGAAATATCGCTATGGTGTTTTCCAAAGTGGCTCTGCAGTTTTGAATCCTAGAAACGTTGTGCAGTTTAACTTTTGTATTCTAATGACTATTGCTGCCCGGCAGCGTGGGTCTGTGAAAAACACTGCCACTATTAGTGATGGCCTCTTTCTCAGTGGCAAGTTTTAGAGAAGACAACCATGAGAGCTACAGGGGTGGTGATGCGGAAATTCTTGGAGGTTTAATGGAAGACTCGGCAAGGC